TTTCTTATTTAGCAGGATATTGATCTTGACTAGAGCAAATTCAATTTAGCTAATTTCAGTTTAATTTTGTGTTCATTTCCACAGGAAATAAAACTTGCTTTCAGAGTTATTTCCTTTATAGTCCTAGTTTTCATTATAATCTTAATAGTCAAAAAACTAAAAATTCTTTATATTTTTTAAAACAACAAATCTGATTTAACTATTAGTTTTTTTTATTTCTCTAGCGATAATAGTTTTTTTTTTTTTTTTTCACTTTTTATAGCAGAATCATAGGACTAGTAATATAGTTCATGGAAAGTGAGTAAACCCTTTGGAAGAAAATCAGTGAAAATAAAGACATAAGATACAAGGAAGGGAGTATCTCTCTGAGGATGTGTTATTCCATCCAGCATTTTGAGTAATGCTCTGCTGTCTGGCCTGCCTCCTAACACTGTCTGCTCATGCAACTTCTTGTTGGATGTTAAACTGTGTTACTGAGCTTTGGATATCTGAAGTCTTAACTGTATAGTTAACGAGTTGAGGACAGGTAAAATGTATATTACCCCTGCATAGACAGAGGGATGAAGAAACTGATGCTGTTAGTGTTCAGACATGTTTGGCATGTTAATTTTCACACAATGTTTAGGCCATATACATTTTAGAATATTAAATTGTTCCTTCCTTTTTGTTTATTTTTACTTTTCGTTACTTCTGTTTTAAATGGTTAAACAGAAGAACTGATAAAACTTGTAAAAATTGGTCATGAAGTCAGCGATAAACAAAAGGAATCTTTAGCAGTTTAGCCACTCTAATACTTAATATATGTTTAAATGTGTAATAACAGGATGGGCAGTTTTGGGGCAAAAGATGAAACATTCAGCATATAATTTGAAATCCAAAATTGATTGGAGAGTATGCTAAAATGCATGGAAACCTGAGGTCCTTTTTATTTAAGGAGTGATAAGAAAATGGAAGCAAAGTATAGATCCTTATTTAAAAGTAATTTCTGGAAAGGTAAAATGAAGAAATGTTAATGAGGATAAAGTAGACATTGAAAGGCTAATAAAATTTCTCAGGAAATAAGGGAAAAATTGGAACGATGTCTCTCCTGCCCTTTTTAAAAAGAGTATTAGTAGAGACATGCATAAACTTTTTCTGTTAAGGACCAGATCTCTATTTGGCATCTCAGGCAATTATCCTGATTTTGGGACCTGAACTTCAGATGGTTTTCCCTCCTCCACCTGACTGTCTTCCTCTCTGCCTCCTTTCGAGACTGCTGAGTCCATACACATCATTAATCATCCTTTATAGGCTTGTTTTACCCTACACATGAATATCTGGTCTGTTCGTGAGGGAAGGATCGGGGTATGCTCCCGGGAGCTCCATATAATCTACAGGGAGCATTGCCTGGTAAAGAGACTTTTGAGGAGGAGAAGAGAGGGGAAGCGATGAAGTGTTTTTCTAAGGTGATCCTTGTGGGGAAAAGATAACTAGACCTTATATTTAGTTGCTTTTCAGCAAATTTGTATTAGAAAACAAGAATGTCCATTTACATGGAGGGCAGATAGGCTGCTTTCTGGTCTAAAACGTTTAAGCATTTTTGCTTAAGGTAATTCTTTGTATCTGTCCACTGATGATATGTGGTTGGCATATAAAAAGTTCAGCATTGGTTACATTAAGCTTGCAGGCTTCATGCTGAGACTTACTGAGAACATCAAAGTAGAAGAAAGAAATGGATATGGAGCCCTCCATAAAGGGGTATATCATTCACAAATGAAATATACACATGTATATATATATTGATAGAAAAATGAATGGGATACATAAATGAAACAGTCACAATTTATATTATCAAATCTGAAAAAATGTCTAAAATGTGTGAGGAGGGTTTGGATAAGGAATTAAGGACTACAATTATGAAATCTTACTGTATTTACTAGTGTTTACCATGATTGTGTTCAGTGTAATAACATTAACATTTTAAATATGAAGTTCTTTCATCAACAGGAAAGATCTACTTTAAGGACCTATGCTTATGGTTGAAACTGTTGCTTTATTTTAGATCATCTCCTGTACACATCATAGCCACTAGCAAAAGTTTACATTCCTATGCACGCCCTCCACCAGTGTCCTCTTCTTCGAAGAGTGAGCCAGCCTTCCCTCATCACCACTGGAAGGAGGAAACACCAGTAAGACATGAAAGGGTAAGTTTATTTGTGAGATTAAAGTTTACAAAATTTGCACAACAGTTGAAATACATTAACTTTCCCCCTAGGAAATAGGAAGTCTCACTGGTCTGTTAGTGATCTGGATTTGATTTTATAGACAGCTCTATTATCTGTTAAGAAAGTTTATTATGAATGGGAATGTGCATATAACTAAAGCTTCCAAAAACTTTGTTTTGTGTGTGTGTGTGTGTACTTTTTTGTTTTTTTAGCAAATTATCCCAGAGCCTGACAAAAACTTCAGTTTTTGAACGCACTGTATTGTTCCTAAGTTTAGAATTATGAAGTTATCCACCTATAAGCATGGGCCTAAAGAGTTGGATAAAAACAGGTATTAAGAGATATATTTGAAAACAAATGAAAGTTGATAATATTTTTCTCCATAGGCAAATAGTGAGTCAGAATCTGGCATTTTCTGCATGTCCTCCCTGTCAGATGATGATGATTTGGGATGGTGCAATTCCTGGCCTTCAACTGTCTGGCACTGTTTTTTGAAAGGTAAAAACAAAACAAAAAACTTGTGTTTTTTACAGCTTACTTGTGTTGCACAGACACACGTCTAATATTTTTTTTTCTACCTAAATCGTAGGCACACGACTGTGCTTTCATAAGGGAAGCAATAAGGAATGGCAAGATGTTGAAGATTTTGCTAGAGCTGAAGGCTGTGATAATGAGGAAGATCTTCAAATGGGCGTTCACAAGGTTGATTTAAATTTCTTAAAATCTTTCAACATGAAACAAGATTTATTATTAATCTACAGAAATATCCTCCATTTACTTTCATATTCATATGACATCTTACATTTTAGGTAGAGCATTTTTGTGACTACTCACTGCCTAGTCTGATGGGGAGGAGCAGTGATTTTAGGCTGACTTTACTACCATGCTTTCTTGGATGGGAAATAGTGTATTTCTTAACTGCTTCTTTGTGTTTTATACACTTTAGATTGGGGAAAACTGGTATCAAAAACATGTAATGAAGAAATAAACTAATCATAGCCTTGCCTTAGGTAATCTACAAAGTGATTAATTCCCCTATAGATTATTGACAGTCAATTATATTAAGTTACTTTATATAAGTTAAGTTATTTTAAGTTACTTAAAACTAGCATTTTCTAAGTTGATAAGCAAAAGCAGTAGTGAGCAGTATTAGGATAAAGTTGATACCTTTCACTTTGAAATCTTTAATTTCTGCATGTCTTCTGTAGGCAAGAAAATGGGCATGTGAAGTGTGCTTAAATATATTCTGTTTTTGATCCTGCCGTGTCTCACTATTAAGTCTCTTGGGAAAAACTGTCTTGTCTTGGCTGCCTTCAGTGTCCTCCCCTTACTGTTACTCTTCATGTTAGTGAAGTTCACAGTAGTCTAACTTTGGCCTTTACTGCTCTACTAAAATTGTCTCAAAGGTTACTACCTTTATTCTGATTTCTAGGACAAGAGACTTTATTTGTTCTGTTTGACATCTATACAACATTTGACACATTGGGTTAGTTCCTGATATTATATTCCCTTGATTTATGTAGCATGGCAGCATCCTGATTCCCAGTCTTTTAGGCTGGATACTCGTCTGCCCCTAATGCTGAATATTAGACAAGATTCTGCCCCTCTTCACTTTGTTCACCAGTTCCTCTCTCCAGATGGTGTCAGCAGCACCTCCATCATGTCCTGTGGAAAGCACTCTGGACCTGAAGTCAGGAAACCTGGACTCACTTTACAGCTCCTCCAGCAATTATCTGTGTTACTGATCTTAGGCAGATTGTTAACCCCTCTGAATATTGGCTTCCCAAAAATGGGATTTGATTACATTAGTTTTAAGGTCTCCTGTATCCCTGAGAATTAGAAGATTTTGTAATTTCCTTATTTGCCAGTCTGTATCTATAGGCTTCACCTGTTCATTTTCAGCTGCATGTTAGACATTTCTACATGAATATCAATCAGTTATTTGAACGAAACTTAGTGTGACTAAAACTGCCCTCACCTTTTTGGTCCTCTTTTTGGCTTTTCGCCTATTCTTTTAAAGTTACTGTGATCATCCTTCTTGATTACCATATTCAAAACCATGAAGTTGTCTTTTACTATTCCATTTCTTCCCTTTACTTATAGTCATTTGATTCTAATTCTATAAAGACTTAAGTCATCCTTCTTTCTTATTCATTACCATGTTCATGTATTAGTGTAATTATGATTGGATACTCTAGCTGGCTTTTGGCATGTTTGTCTCCATTTTTCTATGAATGTAAGGGTAAGGATCATGTTTGTTAATGTTTGTATTTTCAGATTCTCCCATGTGGCATGTGTTAAATGCTCAATATTCATTGAATTTAAATTAGTCTGGTTCTGTTACCATTGCATTTGTCAGTTCAGGTCTATAATGGATATCTCTCATATCCTCAAGTAATTGAATATGAGATCTCTTCTGTAGAGTCTTCTTACTTACCATCATCTTAAACATTGACAGTCATACGGATAAAAACACTTTGATTTCCCAATACCTTCTTAGGGAAAAGTGTAATTACTTTGCCTGTCTTTAAGAGCCTGTTAGTTAACTGGCCTCTCTTTATTAGCTTTATTTGCCCCATATCTGAACTCACTTTGTATTTTTAGCAAATACCCAGCACTTCTCAGAGAAGGTGTTAATTAAAAATTTCTTGGTGCAAGGCACGTCCTTCTATCTTTCTCAGTTGCATTCTTCTTTTAAATCTCAGTTCCAGTTGGAATTGAAAATCCCTTCTTAATCTCACTCCTTTGGAATTAATAACTCTTTATTAAACTGCAACACCATTATTTATACTTGAGTGAAAGGGCTTATTCCAGTCTAGTTATATATATATCTGTCTTTCTTCACTACTGGGTTAAAAGCTCTTAAACGGTAGGGATGATCCCATCTTGGTTACTTTTACCTTTTCCACAAAGTCTTACATGTAATGGCAACTTCACAGTGTTTTGAATTGAACATTTCCAATTCATTCATGCTATGCATATATTTTCAGGGCTATGGTTCTGATGGTCTAAAGTTGTTATCACATGAAGAAAGTGTATCATTTGGCGAGTCTGTACTGAAGTTGACTTTTGATCCTGGTACAGTAGAAGATGGTTTACTTACCGTAGAGTGTAAGCTGGACCACCCTTTCTATGTTAAAAATAAAGGTAGGGCTTCAATTGCATTTGTAGTAATTTTTTTTTAAACAAAGCTTCTTAAATCTCTAATTATGCCTGCAGCTTTAATGATTAAGAAAAAATAATTTGAGGGGAAAACGTCTTTCAACTAAATGAAAAACTACCATAGACAATGCTTATGATAATACCTAATGGTGCTTAAGTATCTTAGCAGTAGTCAGGTGGAACTCTATTTCCTTTGAGTATGAGAAATTTTTAGGTTCATGTAGCATACTGTAATAAGCTTTCTATTATCTTGGTATAGTTTGGGGAATGTGTAGTGATCTAGTAATCACGTTTTTATTAAGAGTTACCAAATATGATATAAACCTGAATCAGTCTTCAGAGCCTTATTACAGTAACACTATGCTAAACATAATTTAATAATTCAGAGACTATTTCATGGTCTTAGTCATCTTTATCACTTACTGTCTTGTAAACTGATGGAAGTGCTGATCAATAAAGGAGATACATGTATATATAACGAAATGCTGAATTGTAAGCTAGTTTTGGAAGGTTTTTATGTTGCTGAAAGGAAGTATATAATCTAGTACTACTTTATTGTAAAGTCATGTGACTAGTGTTAGAGTGTCTCTTGGGACTTAGCAGTAACTTTTTAACTTAGAGAAATAATACGTCTGTTCTAAAGTAATTAAGGGTTCTTTCTGTGAGTCCTCATCCTTTATGCAACATTGTTTAACTTTAGGTTGGTCATCATTTTATCCAAGCTTGACTGTGGTACAGCATGGGATTCCATGTTGTGAAGTTCATATTGGCGATGTATGTCTACCTCCTGGACACCCCGATGCCATTAATTTTGATGATTCAGGTGTTTTTGATACATTTAAAAGGTAATATTGGATTAATTCTTTCCTTTTTTTTTTTCCTGTTAAAGTTTACCCCTCATTTCCTTAATGATTGCTAAATCAGGTATTTAGGAAGTTCAATCTTTGAAGATTTGAGAATTATAAAAGAATTATTTAGAGGAAAGTATGTATGATTAAATGAAAACATATTAGGTAATTAAAGTATAATAGTTAATAGAGAGTTTTGCATATAGTTGTCATATAGGACAATTGAGTTTTTAAAACATTTAAGATTGAATTAGGAAGAGTATCACAAGTTATATGACAAAGCATTTAATTGTTCAGCTTTCCTAGTTACATTTTAAATAAGTTGTGGTATCTGTCCAGTTGTTTTTAAACAGCTTACAAATCTCTTGTGTTTTTTGTAGTTAACTGTATTTTTCTTGATATAATAGTTAACTGTATCATTGTTTAATAGTCATTATGACCAAGAGCACTAGTTGCAATATTTTAACCCAAACTTGATATTTAGAAAGGCTTAGAGAGGGAAGTGGTTATTCCTGAGAACACATAGCTAGTAAGTGGCAGAATAGGACAAGAACCCATGTGTACTGATTCCAGAAGGTTGGCCAACTATTTTCATTTATATGGGACTTTCCTATTTTGGACTGAAAGTTCAGCTTTCAGGAAACCCCTCAGTCCTAGACAAACTGGAACAATTGGTCACCCTACTCCTAGAAGGAACCTAGAGAAAGTCTTGTGTGTAGATACCTGGGATTTAAAGACTCATTCTTTCTTTAAGATACTTATCAAATCCATAGGCATGTACGGGCACTAAGTAGAAAATTCTCAAGAATTCCTGCTGGCCTGTAGGTTTTATTTCAACTTAATATATTTTATATATTATGAGGATGAGTGAAACTGTTATTAAAAAAGCAAATCACATAGAGCCTGACACAAGCCACATGCTGAATAAATGTCTACAAGCTTATACTCTTAATGCTGTTTGAGTACATCCCTCATTACACTCTTTTGAAACACTAGAAAAATGAGTCAAAATTTTAAGTACTGATACTTAGGATTTGTAGATCAGTGATAATACCTATGTTTTGGTGCAACTGTAACCTGATAGAAAAATTATGGAAAATAATTTGGCTTTATCTTGTAGAGGTGAATATCAGCAATTTCATTCCTCTTTTATATATATCCTTGAGAAGTAAATTCTTGTAGTCATGCTTAAGGAGATGTGCAAATAAATTTGTAGCCGTATTGCTCATGATAGCAAAAATGTAGAAACAGTATTAATACTTTTTAACTGGAGAGTGACTCCATGAATTGTGACATAATCATACAGTGGAATTAGTGCAAAATGAATGAACCTTGGCTATACACTTTAAAACATGGATCAATTTTTTAAAAATGTTAAGTAAAAATAAGTCTCAGAAATATGCAGTATATTCTGTTTTCTGGAATCATGTTCCTTAGAAATATATCAAATAAAATAACCCTTACATATGGTACGTAATATACATGAAATATGTCGGGGGTCCCGAAAGACTAGCCCCCAGGTTTGATGATTTGCTTAGAGAATTCACAAGACTCAGCACATAGTTGTGCTCATGGCTATGATTTATTATGGCAAAAAGATGTTAACACAAAGCAAAATCAGGAGAGGGAGAAGATGTGGGGTTAAGTATGGGGGAAGCCAGGCTTCCAGGGATCCTCTCCCAGTGGAATTAGGGGCATGTTTTATTCCTTCAGCAGTGAACTGTGACAACATATATGAAATGTCATTTCCCAGTGAGGCCTGTTAGGTGCAGCTGGTCACATAGGTTTCTTCTGCCTGCCACATAACAAAATCCAAACTTCCAAAAGGAAAGTAGGCATTTAGAGTAAATTGTGTTGTTTGTATATCCAGTTTAGGCACAGTAAGCTACTCTTCTCAGTTATGGGCATGATGGGACTCCTCAGAATCCCAAGTTATAGGTATTAGTCAAGGGCCAAGCTTGTAAGCAGACTTTTGAAAGGATAGCAGTCATTTCTGCATAGTGAAATATTGTACCTTAAATATTAAGAAAGATAATATAACACTACTATAGTACTTATATGTTGTGTTTATGAGTAATATTTTCATAATAAAATTATGGAAAAAATGAATGATAAACATTCAGGAGAGTGGTTATTTCTGGGAGTGGCAAATACGAAACTTTGATACTAGAAATATTCTTAATTTGGATTGTGGGTTCACTTATTTGTATGCTTCATTAAATATATATGTAATTTTTATATATTATTGCATACCAAGATGACTTTTTTTAAAGCAGAAGATAAAACTTGCCTGCCTAAATGTTGTTTTTCTGAGATAGCAAATTCTTATTTGATCCCACTGAATAATAATCACCCCTAAGATGACTTTAGTCATTGGACTTATTTTACTGTTGAGTGACTGCAATATAACAGCAGTAACACCCATTCTGCAAATGAGTGGAAATGGGGAGTATCATCATGGAGAAACCAGGAAAAAACTGAGAAGCTGAAAGTGACTGTATTTTTATTGTGGATTGGATTGGTAAAGGGAGATGATGCCTGGCCTCAGGGAGGGCAAGAAGAGAAAGAGGTAAGAAGAAGAAAAAGTCCAAGAGGGACTGCTCCAAGCAGACTCTCAGGTCATGATTTACAGAGGGCATGTGAGTAGTTTCTAGCTCAGGGAGAATCAGAAGTAAGCAATAAGTTGATGTGCTGTCATACACAATTCAAGGTTCTGTTGTAAGCAGCTTGTTCTGAAATATTGAGAATTGAGGCCAACCTTCCAGGCCTCAAGCAAGTTTAAAACAAGTCAGTTTTGACTTTTTGAGGTTGACTTTTCTGTTCAAGTAATTTGATGATTTAACAAACTTACTGAGTGCCTACTATGTATATAATATTAACTTATTTAATATTAATTACCCTATTAGTAGATGATATCTTCATTTTATAGAGAGAGAAGTAAAGTTGAGAGATGTTAAGGAACATGCCCAAATAAAGGCAGTTTAGTGTCAGAATTAGGATTCAAGCCCATGTCTTGCAAAGATTCCATATTTAGTACTCTAGCTACTCACCTAAGATACTTCAACAATAATAGATACTCCTGATGGTGTAATACACTGTGCCAGCCTCTGCCCTGGGTCTTACATTTATTGTTCCTTTTGGCACCACTGCATAGCATAGATTTATTTCACAGATAAGTAAACTGAGGCTACAGGGTTTATTTAACTTACTTGCCCAAGGTTCTATTACTAGCTGGGATTTGAACTCAAAATTTTCCATTATTATGTTATTCAGAATTGATTAAAAATGAGTTAAGAATAGGCACGCCTCTACTTCCAGTCTAGAGAAGGAATGGATTGGTAAATGTATACAGTAAACGTACATGCTGATTGAGAGGCAGTGTAGCCTGTTAGGAACGTGAGCTCGATCTCAACTGCCTGGATTCAAATCCTAGCTCTGCAGTTGATTTGCTATGGAACCTCAGTAAATTAGTATTTCTGTGGCTCTTTTTAAACAAAAAATCTGTAAAATGGGGTAATATTGGAAGGATTAAATTAATATATGTGACATGGTTAATAGGCACTACATTATTGTGGAGTTTGCCATTCCATTAAGACTAATGATTAGACAGTGAAGTGGGAAGGGGCATTCTAAGCTTAAGGAATGGCATGTACACAAAGTAGATGTGAAAGGCACATTTGGGTACAGGTGCTTTAATGAAGAGAATGAATGCTTAACCTAAGGTACTATATAGCAAAACATGAAGCTATTTTTAAAGATATTCTGTATCATTAATGCTGCAGTAATAACTTAGTCATTGAATTTTGTGATTGAATATTTCAAACTGATTTAAGTTGTATCCATAATGGAAGTAGACGATAGTTGTATTTGTGCCACTAGATGGTGGAGTTTTCAAATTTTAGTAATTAGCTTACCCTGTATCTTTTGGTATTTTAAACTGTAATCATTTTCCATTACTAGAGATGAGTAATTTTATGTCAGTTTGCTATATTGAAGTTTGCTATTTTTCTAAATTATGTATGGGAGGGGCTTAAGATAGCTTACAAAAGCTGCAAACCTAGAAAGCAGACATTGTTTTCCTGACATAATACTGGTTGCTAAGCATTCTTTAGATAATTTTGGAGTAATAGTTTTTAAGTACATTTACTCCATGCAGTACTTTGAGAAAAAAGACATTTGTGTGCTTGATAATTGGTAGATTTACTGTGTGTAGTCAGTGGCATGGACCACCCTTATTCATTTGGCTGTTTCCATCTAACTTTAGAATTTCGTAATCGCAAGTTTTACCTTTAGGCAATTGGTATTCCTGTAGCTAATGTTAACCTATTTTGATGTATTATCGGAATTTCTGTTTTCAGGGAAGGAGCTAGGGTCAGATTAGAAGGTGAGTGAAAGGTTTCCTGCCAAGAAGATAGAAAAATACTATAGGCAGACATAGAGTTAATGCTGGAACAAAAGAGAATTCTTTTGATTTGGTGTATCTTTAGGTTGTGGTCTGCATTAGCTCTTTTTCAACTAATATTTTCAGTTATTTCTTCACCTTGAGTTTAGTGAGGTGCCATAGTATTTATTGGTAAGGAAACCTGGGGCTTTGAAGGTGGACAGATTTGGGTTTGGATCCTAGCAGTGTGGCCCTGGGTGAATACCTTACCTGTCGTAGCTTGTTTCTTCATATGAAAGATGGGAGAATGATGCCCTTGAAGCAGGCTTGTTGAGGAGGTGAGAGGATAGTATGGATAGCTTATTTCCACGTCTATGTAAACTGAATATACAGAACAAAAGGTAGCCTTTTCTGACAGTTTTTTTTTTTTGTTTGTTTTTTTTTTT